GTCTTGCAACTCTGCAGAAAGATTCCCGTTCCACTTGGGGTTCTCTTCGTTAGGCCTGCACCAAACACTATTAACAGAAAGCAGGCAAGTAATTGCAGTTTACCTGGTCGAAATTACAGCGCTCTCTTACATCTGCAGGGATCCAGACTTCTCACCTTTGACTTTCTGCAATTATTAACTACATTAATTATTAATTACATTAACTTATTACTGAAAGGTGATTGCTAACATATTACTAAAGCCTCAGCACAATATTAGTCCCAGTATTAGTGCAGTAATCTCAGCAAAAGGTTTTGCAATAGCAGCCAGGCACAGCTTTGAAACCCTACCCGTCAGTAATAGAAAATCTTGCAGCAATAGTAAGTGTGCTATTGCACATGATAAACTACAACTGTTAATTCAGGGCAATATGCAGCTTATTTATTAATGATTACATGATATATGTTGGAAAACTGACGAGATTTTCTGCAGCAAGTCTCTTCAGTGATCATTTCTGTAATTCTGGATTGCTGTTTTAAATTATATAACCTCCACATTGCATTTCACAGCTTTATTTAATTATAGCAGAATGGCAGCTATGCTCTAGTTAATGTTGACTGCTGCTTTCTATTTAAAGGTCAACTTTACTCTAAAATCCATATTCTTGATTGTCTTGGAAATTTACTTTGCCTACTTGGTATGCATAGCAGTGGTCTAAATTATGATTATTTGTAGAAGAGGACTCTGAGAAACTCCTCTATAAATAAAAGGTAAATAATACCTCTAAAACACGTAAATTTTACAAAAATCACATGATTCTTCTCCATGTGCATGTGCTACTCAACCAATAGCCCATAAAYCGATTTCCACAGCTAAGGATTCATGTAGCTAGTACATGTCTCTTCAGAGAAGAAATTTAAGAAAGCCTTAATAGAGATAATAATGAACTAAATTGGCATGCCTAAAAGAATTAAATGCACACTTGTATCAAGACTCCCTCTAGCTTGATATTTTGCACCAATGTGTTAACAAAAATGACTGAAACACTTGGGGTGAAATGCCGTGACTATTTAATCTGAAGAAAATGCCCTTTCTCCCCTGGGACTGAGGAGACCCGTCACCGAGCATGCTTCCGAAAGCTCATCTGCAAATTTTGCCTGAGGACCACAATAACCTGGAGCAGAATAATTTTTTAAACTTTTCTAAAGCCAACCTGCTGACTCTAATCTTAATTCGGAAATATTGTTAAGGAAATTAACGCTGATTAGCTAGAGGGAAGCGAAGTTAATAAGGGCACGCTAATCACATTCCCAGCACAGCGGAGCCGAATGTGATCAAACGAGGGGAAGCTGCCGGGTCAACGCGTTCCTGGTGCTGGGGCCACCAGGGGAAGCTGCTCGTGGCGTTTTACCACCAAGAGGGAAACAAGGAATCAATGAGGAGGAATAGAGGGGTCGCAGCTACCCGTGCAGGGTGAAGGATGCGGGAAGGAAGGGGATGGAGGTCAGGATGTCGCCCTCCTTGCGAAAGGAGATGTGATGGCAATCTGAGCACCCCTTTCTTCATTCCCCTCTTGCTGGGATTAAAAAGAAAAAATGGATCACAAACTGAGAGGAACAGACTGCATCATCATCCTTGCATCGCTCTGAGTTGCGTTATTCCCTGTGCTGAGTTCTCATTAAGTGGTGGAAATGCCGTTGATGGAAGCAAAGCAGAGCAGGGGGATACGCTCTAGATGCCTCTGCGTGGTGGGGATGCAAGCAGAGGCAAACAGCTGGCAGCTCTCAATGGGACAGCCCCTCCTCGCAGCCCTTCCAAGCTAATCAAAGATCTCGCTGCCTCCTTGGAGGTRAGAGAGACCAAAAGGAGCAGCGCCTTGGGAGGGAGGCATGCTGAGGAACAGCACGGAGGGGAAGCAGCAGCCTGAGCTGCACGGGGATAGGAACAGAGGAGAGGTCAACACAGAGAGGAGAATTCTGTGGCTGTTAGAAGTGCCTCAGATACAGGGGGGTTCATTTCTATCCACAACCCCCTCAAATCCCTGCTTGCGTGTGTGCTCCCATTTCATGGGCTGTCCATGCCAATAGTTCCTCTTTGTCTGCATTCATCCCCAGTTCCCAAGCCAACATTGTCCAGCTAGCATAGGAGGTCATATGCTAGAGAATAATATTTTCCTGGTCTGTTTGGGACTCTTCAGGATAGAAGGAGGAAAGGAAAGGAGCAAAGAAACTAGCAGGCAGTTGGAGCATTCTGTAGATACACTTATTCCCCAGGGGAAGGACAATTGGAGGGTAGCATGACTAGATAGAAATTCCTTGTACTCTTCTATAAAGCAGAGAGAGAGTAAATTTAAAGTCCTGAAAGGAAGGTCAGGAAAAAATCAGGTCACACAAACAACTTCAGAAAAGCAAAGGGAATACAGAGTAAATATAATCTTCATTTTAATTAGCCGTCTTCRAATGTTGTCTCAACACACTAACCACTACATCTGCTAAGATTCTCCCTTTGCAGTTGCTAAAGAAACAGAGACTWGCGCAGATGAACGTTGCAAAACCTAAACCAAACACTTGTTTTTCCTAAAACTCACAGCAGTCAGTGGGCCGACTTCAAACCGCCCACCCAGATCACCTCAGCATGGCCCAGCCTTCTGCTGCGAGGCCATCCAAGATGAAACCCTTGCTCAGTCTTCGCTACGCTCCAGAGATCACTGCTGTGCACGTTAACAGATGGGCTACAATATGCACCCACAGTCACACAGCAGACAAATTTCATGCTGATAGGAGCTGATCCCTGCAGGTTTTCCTCTCCACGCACCATGCTGACAGCTCCCTGCCTCAAACCCTCACTGCTCTGCAGACACTACACAGCAAGGAAAATCATGGGAAAACTGGAGGCAATGCAATTTCCCTTTTTATTTACTCTGCTGGCCAGAGTAGCTTTCTTGATTTTATCAAACAAAAGGTTTAAACCCTACAAAACATAATTCCATAGTTAAGTTTTAATAAAAGTATGTTTCACCTAAGCCATTTTTCCTTAGACTGACCTGGTCTGTGTACATTATTTACATAACTACTGTAATATCTATTTCAAACCTGACAAGACAGTTCTCTTTAGAACGGTGGGCTGTCCTGCCTGTCACCATGATGGGTAAACAGTGTCACCTTCCCAGGGCACAATGAATTATAGAGAGGTAGTAAAGTGCACCATCCATCACAATGGCACTAAGTAGGTTTTTGAAGTAGATTTAGGATATCACAAATGCTGTTTAGACTGTTTCCAGAAAGCACAAATTGGACAGCTCATATACAATGGCCATATGATGAATGGACATGACAGGTCTTCAAAGAAAATGAGTCCTGCTATTCTACAAATAACCTTGTCACACGGAAAGCACAACTACAGCTCTACTGGTAGCCAGACTGCAATAACTTAATGGTTTTATTTGCCTGAACTTCTAGCAAACCAAACATACAAAAGAGACACAATGAAGCGGGAGTATTGAAGCAATTTTAGCAATTCAACTGATTATGTGCCACACGATAGAAACTTGCCATTACGACTGCAAAGCATTTTTAAGAAAATTATTCAAATCATGAGTAGCTGCATTACAAGGATACCTTTTCACAGCAAAACCCTCATGAYGTTGCAATCACAATCCAATGAAACATATTTAAATTAGACAATAGGTAGTTTTGCTGCATGCAATTATGTCTCCCTCTGAAGGCTGATCCCAGCAACAACCACCACCAGCGACTTCTCATTTAAGGATTTTCTAACTGCCTCAAACTAAGTAATAGAAATTTTTGTCCATGCTTGAGATCACTAGTAATTTCTCCACAGTCTAAAGAATTAGGTCAATCTCTCTTTTAAGCCAAACTCTCTAGATCAACAGACATTTAGGGTACACTCTTTACACTCTTGGAAGAATTTATATATATATAGATAGATAGATAGATATACACACACGCACACATGAAAACAGTGAGAGGATATTTGGTATCTCCAACAAGCGACTACAAAAACTCTATGAAAGTCGAGTACATGCAGTCAATCTTTGGCTCAAGTATAGGCTTCTATTTTGAAGCACAGCTCTACTGATGAATATTTCACCCTGATGGATGCTTTTCAGAAAGAGATGCTGAAGCTTGCACACCTAAGGACAAGGAACAGAGAAGGTCTGATTTCCTACCAACCCTCAGATTTTCTTCAATCAACTCTGAATTTCAGTCTGAAATTCTAAGTATTGTAAGAGTTCAGAAAATGGGATAGTTAACATTATGCAACTTACTCCATTTTGACCCATTTACAAGAAGATCTACACAGTGCATAACGTTTTATGATTTATTCTTCAAAGAGTATCCAAACTCAAAGCTCATTAAGTCGATTCCTATTTAGTCTATTAGTGTTCTAAGTCATGAAAACAAATTCATCTTTTAAACAATAGTCAACTGAACTAAGACCAAAAAATCTGCATTACAGGGGGCAATGCACAATATTTTATAGAGGAGAAAGAAAACAGTAATGTAATTAACAATGAAATTTACATTGCAGCTTCTACATTTCAGAAGTATTTATTCAGATTTATATCATTTCATGACAGTGAATGGAAATGACTGCCCCTTTGCATGGCCCCAACGTGTCTGGGAGCAAATATAGGAAGGTAGCCAGTGAAGAGAGTCAAGGGGCCAGAGGATGACAATCTAAACATCTCCCTTCACCTGGTCATTTACCAACCAATATGCATTTACCAACTAATATGCAGGATGTTTTTGTTGACGAGCAATAGATACTAATTCATTAACTTTTTTTTTTTTTTTTTTTTTTTTTTTTTAATATCCTGTAAGGCCTTCAGACCTGATTAACTTCTAATTTTGAATTGAGATTTGGGCCAATGGGATTTTTTACCTGAATATTCTTAGTTATTGCAGGCTGGCATTCACCCACACATACTTTGCCAGCTCAATTCAGCTGCTGTTGTTTTCTATTCCACCCAAACCAACAGAGACAAACGGTGACATTACCTCAAGAGTCCCTTTGGCAGAGTACGCTGCATACGAGTACAGCAGGTCTTGGCTGTGAAGCTCTTTGGTCTCTCTCTTGCACTGTTGTCCACTAGGATAAAAACATTCACCGCTGTTTGCTAGAGTTACGGTATTTGAAAACGAGCCTGGCAGGTCAAGCAAAACAGAGTAATTTGCCAGCTGAACATCTTCAAGGCCATGAGAAGTCCACTGAGTCAGGATTTTCATGGCAACATCTGTATCGTCTTCTCTAGGGAWCTGCAACAAATCTCTGAGGAAAAAAAAGAAAACACAAGTTTCTGTTTATTCTGCCCTAAGACACTGGTATCTTGTCAAAATGCAGCAGGCCATAGTTTTAGTTACATGAAGTATGGGCTCTGTGATAGATCATCAAACACACAAAACAAATCACCATTTTATTTGCAAATAATTCCTTATACAGTACGAGACCAAACAAAAAACCACAAATCCTCTCTTTTTTTCTTGAAATGGGTAGATGTTTAGAGGAAAAGCATCCAACTGAAATGTAGAGAATCCCACAGAAATTATCACATTAATTGCTTCAAAATTAATCCCTGTGATGCCGATCAAGTTTCTGATATTGCATCAATTTAACCAACTGCTTAACGTAAAATAATGCAATCTGAAGTAATATTTCAGGGACTTCAGGGAGGGAGCGATGCTGAAAATTACTTGTAATTACATGTTTGGCTCAAATTCATCAGGTAATGCAGAAATTTGCTGAGCTGAATGGAACTGTCTCTTCAAATATTACCTTTTTTTTTTTGTCAGAAAGTTTCCCTCAGAATTTATATGTATAAGGAACTACTTGAACCAACAACTTGGAGCAAGCATAGGAGTCTGGAAACTATTTTGGCACTACCTATCTCCCCAGGGCTGGCAGAGACTTCAGATGGATGGCTTAGGACTCTTAGCTTTGGGTTTCTATCACGGTTTGACATCTGCGACCACACGGGCCTGGGATGTCCGTGAGGACAGCACTGAAAAGCCACCCATCCATCTCATCCAGCAAACACCTAAAAAGTCCAAGCTCAGCACATGACTTGAGGATAACTTTTGTGGAAAGATGCTGCAGGGACACCTGGAAGGTCTCTGCTTGCTTATATAAAGGCTTATATAAAGCTGCTGTAGAACAGACGTAGAGAGAGGAAAAAAAAAAAAAAAAAAAAAAACCCACCCAAAAAACAGCATTATTCAAATGTTCAAATCAAAAGCATTATTCAAATGCAGAGCAAAGAGTTTAAAGTGCTATATGCTGAATTGCATGAGGATTTTCAGTTGCATTAGAGCTGCAAACCTCGCCGGGCTGAGCAGCAAGAGGCGGGATCACCAAGGTATTGATTTCCAAGCACAGAGACGCAGACACTTGCGGAAACTCTCGCTCATAAACCACCCTTTGCAAAAAGACCAGTTTTCAAAAGATATTTAGATGCCTTGGGGTCCCTAATGGAGCTCTGAAGAACACCTCGGTCATCTCACCTGCATCAAAAGCAGTGGCTGAATAATGGGCAGGTCTTTTAAAACCATTACTGCCATGGGTTTGAGCATCCCACCAAGTGCACAGGGGCCTTTAATGACCCCTGCATTAAAGGAATTTAGCTGCAAGGGGCAAGTTGCACCAAACTGAACGCGCCGATCCTGCTCCCAGAGAGGTCTGCACTAAGCCCGAGCAGAACAGCACTAGTGTAAAGCGAGGGCTACTGGAAGCACGTGGACTCCTCCCTTTCCAAGCCAGATAGCCAACAGATATCTGATCAAATCAAAGAAATGATGAACATATCCACTATTTGCTCCGCAATTTCTTTAAAGGATGTTAAAATTATATCACAAATCATGACACAATTATATCACAAATCATGACATCTTCTTAAAGTAACTCAGCAGGTAGACTTCTTGGATAAGTCTTACGAACAACCAAGATTTCTTCTCCACAACTTCTTACAATCATTGAATTTATCTTTGATATAAATCTGCTGACGGCAGGGATGTAAAGACAGAGATCAATTAGTCTCCTTATTTTTATTATATACTATTTAGAAAAGAAGTAGAATATGTGAAAGCAGTATTTCCCCAAGCAGGCCAAATTCACCACGCTAATGCTTGTTTGACAACCTTTCCTAGCTGTTAAGGGACAAAAACAGTAGTTCCCACGTGCTCCATCGCCATTCTCCCCACTGTTATCAATGGCAATTAATTTACTTGTTAATACTGCCAGGGGAGGGCATTAAGATACATGGTATTAAGATCTAAGTAGCAGAAAGCAACAGGCTCGCAGGACAATCATGTTTCTCACTTTTGCAAGCTGTTGCATGCTTGGGAATAATCGATAGCCAAGCGATTGCCAATTTCCATTTCCAGGACTACTTTTAATAACGTCAGCCAAATTTTTTACTCCCTTGCATTAAAATGATACTTTACGCAGTTACTTGTCTCACTTCAATCAATGGGAATATCGACAAAGCTAATGGTCAGTCCTCATTTACTGTAAATCTGCCTGATTTATTGAGATGGAGCCACCAGGGATTTGAGATTTGGTCTCACGATAGAATCAGCGCTAATAAATGCGACAGTAACAACCARAACCCGATTGTGTCCTTATCTGGGGCTCTCAGAGAGCCCTTCACTGCTCTTCCCATTCTTTCTAGCACAGGCAGATAAAACAGGCCATAAGTTGTTTCAACACATACTCTGCTCCACCCCAAACATGCTAGCTTCCTGAGCTGAAAAAAGGAAAAAACAGAATAAAAATAAAGGACAAAATTGTGCTTAAATGTGCTTAGAAAGCACACACCTCAGTTAGATAAGGTAGAGTTTTCCTGCTTTGTTATCATGAAAAGATCAAGAAAAAGCATTTTTTTTATGAAGGTCTATTTACACTTTTTTTTTTCTTTGTTTCTTGTTTTAATTTTACTGAATGGCCTGCCAAATGTCTGGGCAAGCTAAGGCATAAAAGACAGAAGGTTCAAAGTCCTAAAATTACTGAAATCATTTAAAATAGGACAAAAATACACCTGCAATAAAAGCTGTGCTTTTGAGAGTCTCTGCAGCTTCAAAAGACAAATCTATAACAGATGATTATCAAAGATGAACAAACACACAAAATACAGGAATTTCATTTTAAAATTGGTAACCATGGGGAACATGGAGCTGAAGCAGTTTAATGGAAAGTCATTTGCTATTACAGCACTTATTTCCACACTGCTTCCTGAAGAGAGGGAGAAGTATTGCAAATAAACCAGCTCCTCATTGCCAGAGTTACACTAGCACACTAAAAAAAAACAAAAATCAAAGGTTCTTGAAAACTTACAGTAGGTCAGACTATCAGGTAAAAGAATAACTGCATGGCAGTTATGAGATAATCCTATTAAACAGATATTAAACAAACAGAACACCCTGCACTGGAAGCACATGCAAAGCAATCATGGGCCAAAACACCTATTTTTCCAAGTTCTTCAGCACAAAATTGAAGAGAGCACATCCAGATCTCAATCTATGCTGATCCAAACTAAGCTATTTTATATATACATATATTTTTTTTCTCCATTGCTGGGCTTGGCAATACAGCTACTGCCCTCTGCATTAAACAGCCAAATCCCTTTTATATGATTTAAAGCAAACTGATGGGATGGTCCAAAGCGCCTCRTGCCAGCATCAGGATGGCAGCCAAGCTTGCATGTCGAGGCAGATGGTGGAAGGCATTGAAAAATGACCGCGATGTTTCCATCCCGTGTTCCTAAAGTTTACTGAAAAGCAAGCAATTACCTGTTCCCGCACACTAAACTCCACCAAGTGAGAAATTTGCCACAGGAAAGCTTTCCAAAACTTGCATTTTGCATGTGGGTTATGCTGACATCGAGCCAGCACCCAAATTTCCCAAAGGGCCAGGACTAACAACGGCCAAACTCAAACAATTGYTCAAAAATGGGTAAAAACACACTAGCATACACAATAATCCCTCAAATAATCTCCCAGTCTCCACTTATTTTCTGTTTAGAATTTCTAAAACTCTCTATCTCTAAATGTTTGTGACTTCTTAGAGAGTATTTGCCTTCTTTTCCTGCAGTAACATGCCAGCTCTAGCTGAAAAGATTTCCTTTGGGATCCATTTAATTTTGTTATCAAACAACTTTCAATATACACTTTTTTACTGCAAAGAGGAAAAAAGAGAAAAAAAAAGAAAAAGGTAAAATCTCAGTATTTCACCATGATTAGGCACAGAAACAATGTAACAGCATTTAAAATATTTTCAGTGTAATAGCACTGAACAGCTCATTCACACATATTTCAGAAGTACATCACATTTTACTTAAAATTGTCTGTTAATGGAAAACTAAAGCAAAGACTTTATCTGCAATTCAGCTATAACATATTTAACGTTAATTAGCAACAAATTACTATTTCAGGGGCAACAGCACTATTATCCATGCTTGGCAACTCCAACTTTGTTCTCTCTCTCTCTTTTATATATATATTTATATATATGTGTGTATATATATATACATATAAGTTTGTAAAGGCTTGCCATCAGCAAATAAGTTACGGATTACATCTTATGATTGAGGAAGAAAAAAAAAGTTATTTAAAATAAAGCTACTGRATTTTTAAGTGTAGCAATTGAAGCAGTCTTAGGAGCAGGTGTTCACATGAAAACTCTATATCCAGCAAGAAGCCCACTTTAGTAATTTGAAATGCTTTAATTTCCACAAGATTCAAATTTGGGCTCACATTGAAAGTTTAATAGAATTAACAGATAAAAAAAATCTATGAATATATTAATATAATTGTAAAGATGCACATTAATGTCAATAACAAGATATATATATATATATATAAAAAAATCAAAGAAAAAAAAAGGATGGTTCTGTAGAAAATTAAACAAATTAAACAGGGATACACAGTATCTTGAGCCCTATATTGTAAAGCAAGACCCTGCAGAAAATACAGCTTTCCAGATGACCTAGCTCTTACATTTTTCAGAGGACAGATATGGAAGATAGATGGTGAGCAGAAGTTTAACTCTGTTACAATACAAGGAGTAGATCCATCAACAAATCATCGACTGACATTTCCAGAAGCCATCTCAATTAATCCATAGCAAGTTTAGAAAAATAAATATCTGTCAACAAGCAATCTGTCTGYGAATACATGTTAACAAGTGCAATATTTGTTCACCCTGCAGAAATTATGGGAGTTCGTATCTTCTCTGCATCCTTTTATTCTTATTTTCAGCAATTCCTGATACTGTAAATC